AATTATTTACTCTATAAATAATTGCCCCGATATAAATACTAAAGTTTTAAATTCTTTTTTTTTTTTTTTATAAAAAGGTTAGGGGCCAAGGCCCCAATGAAACAAGTGCATGGCTACAGAGGTTTGAGATGTTCTAAAGTTTGGAAGTCATCAAAAGTACCTCAACTAACTCTCAAGTAATAAGACGGTGATTGATCTAAACGATCTTACTTGACATTAACTTTCATTATTGGATTTTTTTTGGTCTTCTTTTTCATGTTTGAATTTCTCTGCTAAATTTGACTCTAGATAATACATTTATGAATTGTTAAGATGCAAATAAAGTTTCACATCATTCAAACAAGAGGATGAATATGAATTTATTATATACACACAATTGTCTCTATTGGGAGAGAGACCTTTTGAGTGGTATCCAAAAACAAAACCGTGAGGACTGGACCCAAAGTGAACAATATCTTACCAATGTGGAGAATGTGTATGTGTGTGATAACTCCCAGTACTCAACAATAATTAGTTTTTCTTCATTAAATCAAAAATACTATTACTAATAAGCCAAATTCCCTCTTACATTTTGTTTAGCAACTTATAGGGAGGTGAGAATGACAAGGAAAATGAAATTTCGTGGGTTAATCTACTTAGCTGATCCAAAGTGCCCCAGACCCAAAGCATAAGAAAGCATGAGTTGTAAAATAGAACAAATAGAAAGTGGGTAAAGAGAGGGATGTGCAATTAGAGAAAAGGAGGAGGATTTACCTCACTTTGATCCTTGGAGAAGAGTAAGCAGTTGTGGTTAATGGAGTTTTTATAGGTCTCTCTCTCTCTCACACATATAGTAGAAATTGAACTCAAACTTGGGTCACAAAAAGAAAACTATAATTGCTCTAGTCGAAATTGGGCTTCAAAGATTAAATAATTTAAGGTTGACAAAATGGCACAGAATTTGTTGTCCAATAAATATGAAATAATATATATATAAAAAAAAAACTTAGGGATATTTTTGTTGAACTTTAACTTTCTTGATCCATGTGGCCCAACATACATTCTCCTTTTCCCAACTCACGGATCCTAAACCCTAAACTCTCGGCTCAATCATATTTAGAAGTAAAATTTTTAAACTTCTCTTTATTTTTCTTGACCCATATTCATTTACATTTCTCTACACAAACACAATCCATAAAATGATGAGCAATCATACTTAAAATTGGGCTTATGCATCGTCTAAGGCTCTAGGCCCATCACAAGTAAGTATACATAAGTAATTTATTTACAAAAACTCAAATTATTATTATTATTATTATTATTATTATTATATCTAATTGTTATTTTACTATTATACCTATGAACTCATTCGACTCAAACAACTGTTTTAAGAATTCAAGTTTGGGAAGGTTACGCAAACAACTCATTTATGATAATCAAACCACACTATATAACTTTTGAAACTTAATTTTCCATATAGAACTAAACACATTAAGCTAGTGTAATTACGGCAATTATAAACCCAGATATTGATTACTTTTAGTATATTTTTATATAGTACTTTTCCCTCTGCATAGTTGACGCAGATTCTCTCAATAAAACTATTTAAATAGAAAATTACAAATTAAATTAAGTCATATTGATCTATATGCTTTGTAGCTTAAAATATCATGTCACTGGTATAAATCATTATTCACGCCATTAACTTCTTTTAGTATAGAAGACCATAGGATGTACATATATAATTTTTTACTTAATAAAATATAAAGATTTTGATTACTAAGAAAAATCATCCTAAAACTAAGATTCCACCTTAGTTATAATATATAGAAAAATAAAATAACACCTAAGCTTAACAATTTCATCAACTTAAATCGAAAACAAAAAATTAAAATTCTTTTATATGAAATGGATCTTTGTTATACGAAAATGCTTTTGTGATAATTATTATATCAAATAAATCATGATTACTTTTTTTTTATATGATTTAGATTTTATATGTGCACTTTTGACAAATTTTAATTTCGAAATTAATGTCCATCATGTAATAATATTTAAGTAGGTATTTGTTTTTTGAGGGCGAAAACAGAGGGAAGAAAACCAGGCAGTAGGCAAGAGCGGAAGGAAAGCTGTTTTGTTAAGAAGAAAAGAAAGGGAAAAAGGAAAAGGGTGATGGAGGGAATGAGAATGTTGACCTGACAAAATGAGATTTATTTGCTGAAAATAAGAAAGAGAAAAACTTTATGTGAAACAATTTTGAGCACACGGAAACACACAAGTAAAGGGAGAATCATGAAAAACTCAATGATCCAATCCCCTCAACCTCAACGAGGCCCACGTTATCCCAAAAATAAAATCACATTTTTTATATCTAACACTTATCTTATTCTATCTTAAATAACTCGTATTTATGAATTACAATATTAACATTAACAACTATTTTAATAATAATATTTAAAGATAATTTTTTAAAAAAATATATAAATAATATTTATTAATAAAATAAATATTAATCATTTATTAAAATATATATAAACAAAAAA